AGCTCATCGGTGACGAGCTGGACTTCTCCACCGTTGGAGTGCTCTTGCCTGCACAGGGGACACGCGTACACACAAACACACGTACACACGTACACACGTACACACGTACACACACACACACACACACACACACACACAGCGTGTCTGAGGTCCTTGCTGCAGAATAGTGCTCGGTCTCTGGTCTCTGTTGTTCTGCCTTGTTACATAGATACACATGGGAATGTGTACACACACACCCTCCCCCACACACAGACACACAGACACAGACACACACAGACATAAAACATACATGCGTACGATCTAGCACGAGCCGGGAAGAGGAAGGAAAGAGGCTAACTCCAAACTCTACAGTCCATCCTTCCAAAACTGGCACCCTAAACTTGTTGGTATCTCGCAAGTGTCGACATTGTGAAGACAACTGTGCACCGTGGTTTGCGTGGCCCGTACAGGTCCTCGTTGACATATCCAAGCTGCGAAACGTTAAAGGGTTGGCAGTTGGAAATTCAATCAGGCTTGACAAAATTAGAACTGGCGCTCCATGGTGACATGTATAGAGAAGCAGATGTAAATCCACCAGATTAAACAATTTTAAGTGGCCTTTGGGCATGGATTCGGCCAAAATCGGGCTTGCTAAACCCAGCAGGACTATTCAATCTGAAGGGATGTTTTTCCGAAATCTAAATTTGTATGAAGTTGGTTGCTCCAACGAGGAGCACACGCTTCTTGCCGAACTTGACACTTGACTGACTCACGACTGCCATCCGGAGCACACGAGGAGCATGTCGAACCTTCCGCTCGGCAAACGTGAAAGAAAGCACCACTCCCTGCTCAATACACAGTGTTTCGGGGAATTCACCCCTCACCAGTTGAGCTTGAGTAGGCTGAGGAAGATTGTGCCTGAAAAGCACCACTTATAATTATACTGCTCTCCAGGCCAAACCATCACCAGGGATACAAACTTACAGAGACGCTTTCTTCCAGCGCGACAAACACCTCGTGAAGCCCCAGGTAGCAGCGTGAGTCAGCGTCGCTCATGGAGTTGTGCTAAACAGACGTTGAGAGCCAGTATAGCTATTCACAACGCTGTCACCTCCAACAACTAGTCGCACGTCCGCGTGAGGGACAACAATACGAACTTAGAAGTTGCGACTTCGGCGGTAATAGTCATGAAGTTGGTTGCTCCAACGAGGAGCACACGCTTCTTGCCGAACTTGACTGACTCACGGCTGCCATCCGGAGCACACGAGGAGCACGTCGAACCTTCCGCTCGGCAAACCTGAAAGAAAGTACCACTCCCTGCTTCTAAGTTCTAAATTTGTAGTAAAGAAAAATGACCAAGAAACTACAAGTTACGATATAATGTCCACTAACACCACCAGTTACTAAACAATCAGCTCATGCGATAACATTGCACGGCACTGACAGCTCGTGCTTGTCTTGGTTGCGCTCACCTTCCCCTCCTCATGTTATTTCTATATCTTAGAACCTTCCAAGTTGGAAGGCTGTTGGAGTGCGCATCCAAGATGTGCTAGAGCTGTTAGCCAGTTAGTTGTAGAACGCCAGTACCTTCGGTGAGTGTTGTGCAATGTTACCGTAAAAGTCCAGAAATAAGTACGTATTTACTTTCGAATTTAGTGACCACACCCGTACTAACTTTCGGGCGGGTACTGACTTTCGGGCACGAACTAACTTTCGGACCTGACTCGTGTGTAGTGGAGAAGTCATTTTCATGTCGATGTACATGCTACGTGCTGCATGTGCGCATCGTACCGGTACTTATTTCGGGCAGTATGTTTATCGGGCTTCACTTGACTTCAACAGACAGAGCCAAAAGAATGAAGGGGGTATTTCTTTCGGGCAGGTACTTATTTACGGACTTTTACGGTATCGCATGAGCTGATTGTTTAACCCCTATCCGACCCTCAAAGTGGACAAATTCTCAGTCCAAGCGAGACGCCGCGACTCATTTTGTTGATAACTTTAGTTTCCCTTGGGAGATATTGGCAAACTTCGGCTTTTTGGAAAGCTTGAGCCATGAGGAGGTCTCTAGAAACAGTTTCTAGCTTTCATTTGTAAGAGAAACAAAACTCCATCTCCAATTCCATTTTTTGAAGAGAAGTACGGCTCATCGACATGTGGACTATTTGTAGTCTTAATTTTGTACTTTCATGCTAACACATTTTGAAAATACCATCAGGGAAGCATCCAGGCAAAGTTTTAGGAGGGCAATGTAATCATTGCCAAAGTTACACATTTGAAAACTTGTTTCGTACGCGGTGCAAAAACAGACCTCGCATAGAGACTTATAACTTCTCTTTGAAAGATGCTAAGACGCTCCGGTCTTTTGCAAATGAATGGTGGGTCTTTCCAGCATCTTTTGAGACCAAAATGGTGCAGATGCGATCAAAACTAAGTGAGTTACAGTTTGTTAAAGTCATCGACGGATAGTCGTCGATTTTTGACTGGCCGGTCGGATAAGAGTTAGTAACTGGTGGTGTTAGTGGACATTATAGCGTAACTTGTAGTTTTTTGGTCCTTTTTCTTTACAATAAATTTATCCTTGGCTCTCCATCCGAGTCCAATATAAATTTGTAGTAAAGAAAAGGACCAAGGAACTACAAGTTACTGAAAGACCAGATATTTCAACGTCAATTAAAGTTAATGATCTCCGGATTTTTGTGGGTTAGCGACGCAAAATTCTAACGAATTCTGTCTCAAAACCGGCAAATGACTGTACATGACTACATATTATCGTTTTGCACATACCGGCTTCAAAGGTTAACGATTTTTTAAATTCGTTAAACCGTTAGAATTAAATGTTTGTTAACATTACTGGTCTTACAGTACACTATGATGTCCACTAACACCCGACCAGTTACTTGACAATCAGCTCATGCCATAACCTAGCACAACACTGAGCGACTGATTGTCAAGTAACTGGTGGTGTTAGTGGACATTATAGCGTAACTTGTAGTTCCTTGGTCCTTTTCCTTACTATGAATTAATCCTTGGCTCCCCATCCGAGTCCATCTAAATTTGCCCTAGCTAATTCATGCCACAGGTCTCGTATTATGCCGAACTTTGAAATTTAAAATTTGAACATTCTCGGAGTGCTTACGAGCAAGTAGCGCGCGGAACTTCATTGGCGATCGCCTATAGGCGATGACGAGGCCAGTGATGAGGACCAGTACGCCTGCAGAGCCGCCTGCAATGTAGATCATGAGTGAGCTGTTGCCATTGCTCTGAGACGCCTGCGGTGGTGGGTCCACGAGAGCTGCACGGCCAGAAAACAAAGCGGCATGGGTGAGCAATGGACGGAATTATTAGCTTTACTTCTTTAGAATGCGTTATGCAACACCCACTAACCTGAAGTATGTACAGTACGTGCTTACATTTACAGTCATAGAGAGATGCAGAGAATAGTACCCCCCCCCCCCCCGCACTCTGCATAATCATACGCCCGCACACACACACATGCACACACACATGCACGCACACACCAACACACCCGTGCATGCGCGAAAACAAACATCACTCACACATTTCTACTTGGGGCCAAAATGGCCTGAAACAGACACCAGCAAAAAATAACCCTTTGCATTGTAAACGGCCCGCAGTGCTGCCCTCGAGATTCAGTGTATATACTTGAATCAGTGAAGATGAAGAACATACAGGATTTGCGTCACACTGAAAGTTCAAACAGACACGGACGGGCGGCATAAACGCCCGCATTGGCGCAAACCTCTGCCCATCACGCATGATGCCGATTACAGTAAAACCTGGTTTAACCTTTTCCACCCCGGCCTGAAACCCATGAATTCCCAGTCCGCTCGCTGCGCCTCTCTCTCTGTCGCCCGGCAGAGCAGACCTGTGATTCGAAAAAATTCTAACTTCACTCACCAGGAACGGAAGTTGATCATCTTGGGCTCTTTGGAAAGCTTGAAGCCTTCTCTGTCCAAACGAAAAGAATAATCACTCAGCAGGAGCAATAGAGTTGCCTTCACACTCCGTTGAGAGCTCCTCTATCGGGCCTCGAAGAGATATTCCACACCCAGTCACAAATTTCTTCGCTTCTACAGTTTTACTCAGCGCAGAGCAAAAATTCAAACTCTCTCAGATTCCTGAAGTTCAAGCGCTCATTTTGGTACCCAACACGCATGGGCTGTGCCCCTGTGAGTCATAGGGAAAGTCCCTTCCCTGCCGATGTCCACTCGAAAATCCAAGGTGCGAAATTTTGTGCCCTGTATTTCGGCCCGTGAATTGCGTTTCCACCTTCGGCGCTCCGGTATTTTACTTTTCGCCCCAGCAAACGACATACCATTGGAAAGCTTATTCCTTCAGCTTTCCAACGAGCCGTCAGGTGTGAGAATCGAAGAAAGTATAACAGAGTTACGAATGTTTGAATAGCGAGGTATACGCAATCCGAGTTCACTGTACATACAGTACATTTTCTACCCGAGTATACTCGGGCTTGGGAAAGCAGGGCATGCTACAAAACGAGTATACTCGGGCGCGGGGTGCAAAAGGTTAAGCGTTCACCCCATGGTGCAAGCAAAAGCGGTCGTTAAAGCCAGGTGGTCTTTAGAACCAGGTCCCGCAGTGTCTGTGTAGAACTGTCGGTGCATGGAAAACGGTCGCTAAGAGCAGGTGGTCGCTAAACCCAGCGGTCACTTACACCAGGTTTTGCTGTACTTACATTTGCAGACGGGAAGGTTCTCTGACCAGTTACCCGACTCTGTGCACCTCAGGATGCGTGCACCCTCCAGCAGGTACGTGTGCGGACACTCGTAGATTGCAAGATCATCGTGCTGATTGCCCTGCAGTGTTCTCGTGGCGTTCCGCGGTGTGCCAGGGTCCGGGCAAATGATCCCTGTGTGGGTGGGTGTGCAGTGTGTGTGGGAGAGGGAGGGAGGGAGGGAGGGAGGGAGAGAAAGAGAGAGAGAGAGAAAGAAAGAGAGAAAGAGAGGAGTTTATACAAAGTCAGATGGAATACTGTACATGACTGGAAATTTAGCTATCCTGCAGTCAGTCTTCCAGACTAGCAAATGATTGATGTAGCCGGACACCCTTGATGTTGATACACTAATATTTCTCTTATCTGGACGTCGAAACTCTGGGAACCACGACCTGGCAGATAGCACTTTAGTCACAGTTTCCAAAGAAAAGCATGGGAAGCTTATGTACAGTCCTGCTCAAGGAAATCCAGTCGCGGCACTCAAGTTTGCGCCTTGCACCATTTCGAATTCCAGTGTCCGCAGGTCTAGGGCTGCGCAACGCCCGACACGTACATGAGTGCATCGACTGGATTTCATTGAGCAGCACTAGCACTGTACAAACATGGACTACTACTCGGTGTTTCATGCCACTGTGTCTTTCCACTGTTGTTTTCAACTTGCTCAAACTTACGAATATTGGATCTTCGCTTGAAATAAACTGAATTGCGGATTTTCTCAGTACATGTAATAATATTAAACAGTTGGACGCTGGCTCAGCTAGACTTCCTGGAATACGATGGTAGACTGGAGATATGAGTGTGCTAAATGCGTTTCAAAGATATTACTGTGAAAGTCCGTAAATAAGTACATCCCCGAAATAAATACCCCCCTTCAACCTTTAGACTCTGTCCGCTGAAGTCAAGCTAAGCCCGATAAAGTAATATACTGCCGGAAATAAGTGCCGGTACGGACGTTCACGGTAGCTGTCAACATACGAAGAATGCGTTGCTTACTTTGACACTTGGGAACTGCGGCGGACCAGTTGCCATGGTTAGTACAGGTTAGTTTAGTACTGCCCATCAGCCTGTATCCGCTATTGCAGCCAAAAATGACCTGATCGGGGAAGAAGAAAGGACCGGCCGACCTGTAGCCGTTCTGTGGTATGGCGGGTACTGGACATGCCACGGCTGTATGGGAGAGAGAGAAAGGGAGAGGGAGAGGGAGAGAGAGAGAGAGAGAGAGAGAGAGAGACAGAGAGAGAGAGAGAGAGAGAGAGAGAGAGAGAGAGAGAGAGAGAGAGAGAGAGAGAGAGAGAGAGAGAGAGAGAGAGAGAGAGAGAGAGAGAGAGAGAGAGAGAGAGAGAGAGACAGAGAGAGAGAGAGACAGAGAGAGAGAGGATTTACACACCTACATGTAACATACTTTTCTTTATAAAGTATAGGCTCGCAACAGCTCCATACGGGTGACACATGGTCTGCCACACGGCCATCAAAACCTTCACCATAAGGATACAGTAAAGAAACTGTATGAGGTGATTCCACTCCATGCAAGTGCCCAACACAAGAACGTCCACACCAACGGCATGCACAATATGAGAGATGTGAACAAGGGAGTCGTAATATTATAACTACATTTATATAGCCATACATCTTTACAACACTCTCCAAACGGTCTCTGGGTCTCTGGGCTACACAAATCACGAAAAGAAAAAAGAGATTATCATCAGAATTGTCGGTTAAAGGGGAAGTATACCCTAAAATCAAATTTTCACCAGTTGTAGTCTTCGGGGTGCTGAGTCGAATGGTCTTGGTCCGAGGAAGCTGAGACGCTCCCTTCCTCCTTTATTCCCAATCGAACTCGCGCACTTCCACCGAATCTGGGTGACTGCGCCCTACTAGATAGGGATTTGTATGGAAAAAGTCACTAAAAACGCCGTTTCGTTCTTATAAAAGCGCGGATGACCGCGACTGGCCCATATGTTGTAGTCTTTTGGCTGCTGAGTCGACTGGTTTTGGTCCGAAAAGGCTGCGATGCAGCGTCCGGCCCTTATTCCCAATCGAACACTTTTGAGTGAGCGGTCATGTGCTCATGCGTACACCAGTCGCCTGGTCACCGTGCCTACAAAGTACAATTTTCACATCAAGATTCAACTCAAAGGTTCAAAGCAGGAAGTCGTAAGAGAGGCTTTTACGACTCCCTGGTTCAAAGGTTCAACTCGAGTGACATAAATGGCCTCAAACAGGCTGTAAATGAGTACGTGACCGCTTACTCGACCGTGTTCGATTGGGTATAAGGGCCGAATGCTGCATCGCAGCCTTTTAGGATCAAAACCAGTCGACTCAGCGGCCAAAAGACTACAACATATGGGCCAATCGCAGTCATCCGCGCTTTTATAAGAACGAAACGGCGCTTTTAGTGACTTTTCCATACAAATCCCTTTCTAGTAGGGCGCAGTCACCCAGTTTCGGTGGAAGTGCGCGAGTTCGATTGGGAATAAAGGAGGAAGGGAGCGTCTCAGCTTCCTCGGACCAAGACCATTCGACTCAGCACCCTGAAGACTACAACTGGTGAAAATTTGATTTTAGGGTATACTTCCCCTTTAAGGCCTATCTTCAGACCGCGTTTCGAGAGCGTTGCAAAGGCTACAGTGGAGTAGCCTTTGCACATTGAGACAATACATAGCATCAACTTACGCTTGCACACGGGCATATCGGGCTGCCATTGCCCGCTCTCCATGCACGTTTGCTGCCTGGATCCCGACAGCTTGAAGCCCTGGTGACAGGAGAAGTGCACCGTGCTCAGGTACGTGGACGTGTGCGGAGACTTGGCGCCGTTCTTCGGCACGCCCACCGCAGGGCAATGTGTTACTGCAGTGCAAAAGCAAACAAAAGCAAAAAAAGCAATGCCTCAATCCGGACCACTGGCAGCAATGTTTGATTGGCCCGGCCATGCCATGATACCCTTTCGTACTCTGTGTATAGTACATCGGGTACATATAAATATGTGTATAGTACATCGGGTACATATAAACTCCTTAGCAGTAAACATGAGCTGATGGCCAACACGTTGGTGCAGTGATGACGTGATCAGGCGGATCGGTTCCGGCAGGTCTGTGAATCAAGATAATAGTTGGTCCCGAAGACCAGCTGGTCACGAATTACCGTTGATCTGTAAGCCGTTGGCATTCCCTCTTCAATTTCAATTCCGGGCTCTCCATCCGAGTCTAAACACTGGATGTCCACATTCCTTAGGACAACATTACTCAACTACAGGCACTGCATCTTGCGCATGACACAACACACTACCCACATTACTCTCTAGGCTTGGCTATCAGTAGCCAAGAGACCGTCGTGGGGCAATATGTTGTGTCTTGCAGATATGCACGTCATATTGGGTTCAGAAGTCTTCATTCAGCGATACAATAGAAAGAAAGAGAGAGAGAGAGAGAGAGAGAGAGAGAGAGAGAGAGAGAGAGAGAGAGAGAGAGAGAGTGCAAAGAGAGAACGATAAAGAGAGAGAGAAAAGAGAGAGAGAGAGAGAGAGAGAGAGAGAGAGAGAGAGAGAGAGAGAGAGAGAGAAAGAGAGCACATGTGACTGAGCGAGTGAAATCAAACTAAACAGACAGGCAGTAAGGTAGCAACCACATGAGTTAGAGGCAATAGGTAAGGCAGAAACAGGACACACATGTATTATGCATTACACACACACTGTCATGATGTTCAAAACTCACGAATGCACGCCGGCGCGGGATGTGACCAGTGGCCCGAACTCAAGCACGACGCCCGGCGGAAGCCTGTCAACGTATAACCCCTGTTACATGTGTAGACTGCAGTGGAGTTGTATGTCACGCTCATGGCTCTTAACGCACCGTTAGCGGGACGCACCAGGGGTGGGCATGCGATTCCTGTGAGGCAAGAATCAGCAACAGCCCCACAGTGTTCAACAGTTGAACCAGCAAAAAAAACAAAAAACAAACAAACAACGGCCTCACCAATATACAGTGTACGCGTGTAGTATTATGCACCAGAACAAACGGACCGGAAAATCAAGAAATTGTACACTCACTAAATGCACGGGAATACCTCTTATATGCCCGGTGACCCTACCTATAAACTATACCAAACTATACTAAAAAAACTATACCAAATAGGCCCATTGACGCAGCTCCAAAAGCGGTGCGAGTCGAGTGTACAAATAATTTGCACACATGGGCTTTAGAAAGTCTCTCTACTCTTACTGTTGCAAGTTGGTGGCGGGCTTGACCAATGTCCCTGGTAGTTGCAAGTGCTTGTTCTCTGACCTCTGATCATGTAACCCACGTTGCAGGTATACTCAGCAATGCTGCCGAAGGTGAGGGATTTCAATGTTCTGCCACCATTGGCTGGGGTGCCAGGATTGCTGCACTTTCTGACTGAGAAGATCAATGGAAGAAGCAAATAATGCAGCGTTAGTGGAAGACTGGGACGGAGAGAGAGAGAGAGAGAGCTGATTTTTGCCACCTCCCTTTCCTCGCGCTATTGAAATGTTGTACAGTCAGACCTTGCTTAACCGCACACATCCGTTTTCCACAAAAATATCCGGATGGGCGAGGGGACCGGATAATTGAACACACATACTGTATGTGTGCATGGCATATGCTGTAAATCGGTGACCAACAATTTTCTTCCGGATGGCGAGGGATCCGGATAAACGAGGACCGGATAAGCGAGGTCTGACTGTACGTCGACTTTTTACCCATCGATATGTAATATCTGTTTCTCTTATAGTTAAGCTGATTTTTTGCCACCTCCCTTTCCTCGGGCTATTGAAAGAAAATTGTACCTTCATCACCTCTGCACTCTTTTCTGAAAGCCCCTCCGTATAATATATTCTAGTGAATGCTAGTCTTGGTCATAATTATTATGCTGTCTGATGAGTGGTTGGTAACATGGAACTCTGAGTAACGGCTGAAGAAGACTTGGTTTTGTCATTGCTGTGTGATCAGTGTACTACTGGCTCTGTCCACTGGACATAGAGCACTATAAGCAGCCTGAGGACCTTAGACAACTACAGTATCTAGGTAGATGATAGATTGGAGAGATAGATAGATAGATAGATACCGGTAGATAGATAGATAGATAGATAGATAGATACCAGTAGACCATGTTGTATGCATATTCTATTTTATTTTATACTTTGGATGAAGTTTTCCATTAGTCATATTTGTGTTGTTGCTAACGGCTTTTGTTGACGTCACTTCTGTCATTTCATTGTATCGTATTACTCTTCAGACATCAATCCTGAAT